CACTGGGTATGTGCCCACAACCAAGGCACATGCCCCTGACCGGAATCGAACCCGGGACCCTTGAGTCCACAGGCCGACGCTCTATCCACTGAGCCAAACCGGCCAGGGCCCTATTTTGAGAATATTTTACAGCCCATAGAGGTTGAAAGTGAGAGATGATTGTTCCTTTCAACACAGTAAACCCCAGGATTTCTCGACTTTCTATGTTCCCTTCCAGTTTCGAGGCTTGCAAAGGAGCTGGGTTTTATCTGTCATCACTTTTTTGTTTCTAATGAAATATAGTTAGTTGGGCCGAGCCGGCACGGCCATGGGTGAACCTGAGAGGGGGCGGTGAAGGATTTAGAAAAGACAGACAAAAGAAAGCTGGGCGCTAGGTGGGACGCTGCCCTCTCTGATGGCGAGACAGCGCCCAGGCCTGCAAGCCAAATCTTTATTTCATAGCCAGATTCCACCAGGCAAAGAAAGGGCATGGTCAAGATGTTTACAACGTTCTTGTGGGTTTCCAATCTACTCAATTACATGCCCCTGATCAAGCTTTGTTTACTTGCTGCCCCTCCCGCAGCCTGTATCACTCAGCCACATGGGAACACAGGTTCGGACCATAAGGTCGAGCTTACAACTGTGGCCTTTGGCTATAACTGTGCTGGGACTTGCACGTGGCTTTGCCACGAGAGGATCGTGCCCTCTCACTAGTCCCAGCCTTGAACCTGTCCAAACAATATAGCCGCTCTCCACAGTTAGCAACAACTAACTCGCACTAACAATATTCTGTTTCAAAACTACTTCTCCCAAAGCCATAAATTCAGTAGGTATATTTTCTGCCTTCTAAAGCAAGCAGGTCAAACTCAAAGGCTAACACAGGCCAAATAAACAAGGTTTAAGTTTATGTGGGCCGCAAAAAAACAAAAGCTTCTATTTTCATAGCAACGTAGGATTATTTCAATAGTGACATGCTGAATACAAAGGGCTGAAATAAGTGAGTAATCATTAACATAAAATAGAACATTTTAATAAAAATTAATATTTTTTCTTGAACATTAACTTACCAGACACTGGATAACTGCACAAATTAATAAGCGTAACGCAAATAAACCTATTTTTCTTGTTCTCCGAAAGCGAAATATTTCCTGCTTCGCACACCAACCAAGTCAGTCCAAGACTGATGACGTGGCCATCGGCTGCTAAAATATTCGCTGCTAGTATTAGTAGAGAGAAATGGTGCGCCTGCGCGTAAGGCGCGTAGGGAAATGAATTCAACATGATTATACTGTAGTAATCAGTCACTAGCGAACATTGTAGTTCGTTATTAATAATTATGTATAACAGGATATTGTCAAAATTAAGTAACGAAATTTTTATTAAAACGTTTCTTACATACCATTATATTAGCTGGGCTGCAAAAATATTCATTGTGGGCCGCATGTGGCCCACAGGCCGCGAGTAGTCTGACATGCTTGCACTAAAGGCTCCCATGGTTTCCACCGTATCATTGTTCTCACCAGACTTAGTACATTTTCAGCCTGAAGAATCACCTCTTCTATTTGGCCACCTTGAAATCGGTCTTCTAATTTTCTAACATCTGGTTTTGCTTTAACCATATCCAGCTTCTCATTTGTAATCTCTTCTGTGTACTTCCTATATGTGGCACTTTTATTTTTAAAAATATATATATATATTTCATTGATTTTTTACAGAGAGGAAGGGAGAGGAATAGAGAGTTAGAAACATGGATGAGAGAGAAATATCGATCAGCTGCCTCTTGCACGCCCCCTGCTGGGGATGTGCCCGCAACCAAGGTACATGCCCTTGACCGGAATCGAACCTGGGACCCTTGAGTCCGCAGGCTGACGCTCTATCCACTGAGCCAAACCAGTTAGGCCTATATGCAGCACTTTTAGATTTGCTCAAGAACATCAAGAATCTTTGTGTACAATATGCTTAGCCTCTCCTGTGGACTCTCACATGCAGCCCGTCCCGGAAGGCCGGTGGTCTTCAGCAAGCCCGCCATGACAGTGCCGATGAGCCGAGTACCAGTATTTTTAGTCTAAGTGCGTCCTCTTGCCATAGTTGCTTCTCCCCTTGTTATCAGTGAGCCCCCAGGGGGCCCCTTAGCAGCTGAGGTACTGAGTGCTTATCAACAACAGATGAGATAACAACATCCTGACACAACTTACGTCATTCTTCTATATCAAAACAACTTCCTGTCTGTTTTTTAAAAATTTTAAATATTTTTATTGATTTCAGAGAGGAAGGGAGAAGGAGAGGGAGATAGAAACATCAATGATGAGAGAGAATCATTGATTAGTTGCTTCCTGCACCCCCTACCCCCTACTGGGGATGGAGCCCACAACCCAGGCATGTGCCCTGACCAAGAAATGAACTCTGATCTCCTGGATCATAGGTCAACCCCCAACCACTGACCACACCTGTTGGGCAAAATAACTTCCCTTCTAAAACATTTTCTTGTCTTTGCATAAACAGGATTAAAACAGCTTCACTTAAGTCATAAACAAATGGATTTAAAATCATATCAAACCAATACTCAGCAGAAACCGAAGCCCTCAGCCTGACAACCCAGGAGAATCTGAATGTGGCCAACAACCCTGTGAGCTCGGAAGCAGGTCCTTCCCCAGTCGAGCCTCAGATGGCACCAAGGTCCCAGCTGACACCCTGACTGCAGCTTGTGAGACGCTGAAGCGGAGGCCTCAGCTTGTTGTGCCCTGACTCCTCACTCACAGAGACTGAGACAACAAACGTGTGTTGTTTGAAACCACTCCATTTGTGGTAATATTTCACAGGGATTCATAACATGCCCCTTGCGTTTGGGGGGACGGGGGTCCCTTAAAACCACTCTCAGGGGAGTCCTCCAGCTCTGCAGTCAATGCCATGGTTCTCCACCAGGTCTCAGATCTGGGCCCCATCAAACCAGGTCACAGCAGAAAAGCAATAATCCCTTTAGAATAAAGGGATAGAGACGGACGGTTCTGATTGGATGTTAGCATTTGAGAAGGTGTATAAAAACGTCAGGCACTAGAGGAGAGATTCAGAGTCCTCCAGCTCTGCAGTCAGTGCGGTGGTTCTCCAGCAGGTCTGAGATCCGAGCCCCAGCCTACCGGTCACAGCAGACGTTTCTGCAGGATTCCTTTCTGAGCACCTTGAAGATGAGCAGGCAGACCCCACCCACACTCCTGCAGCTGGCAGGAGAGAGCCTGCTGAGGGACCAGGCCTCAGCCATCACAGCTCCGGACTACCTGCCGGCTGAGCTCCTCCCCCCGGCTATTCATTCAGGCTTACCGTAGGAGAATCCGGGAGCCCCTGAAGGCGATGGTGCACGCCTGGCCCTTCACTGTGCTCCCTCTGGGGAACCTGATGAAGCTGCCTGAGGTCATAGTCTTAAAAGCCGTGTTGGATGGGCTTGACGTTCTGCTTGCCCAGGAGGTTAGGCCCAGGAGGTGGAAACTGCGGGTGCTGGATTTCAGGGACACGGGTGCCAACTTCTGGAGAATGTGGAGTGGAGACAGCACCCCGAAGTGCTCACCTAGGGCACCAGTGACTGTGCACAGCTCCAGCCCCAACATGGAGCATCCCTTGGCTCCCTTGGAGGTGTTCCTAGACCTTAACTTCAATGCAAGGGATGCGGATGAGTTTCTCATGCACATCATCCAATGGGCCAAGGAGAGGGAAGGGTTGCTACACCTGTGCTGCAAGGCGGTGAGGATTTCTGAGACGCCCCTCCAGAGGGTCAGGAGGGTCCTGGATAGGGTGCAGCTGGACTGCATCCAGGAAGTGGAAGTGAACTGCACCTGGGACCTGCCCACCCTGGGGACGTTTGCTCTCCACCTGGGTCAGATGAGTAACCTGCAGAGACTCTCTCTCTCCTACATCGATGTGTTGGCTGAGGAGGAGGACTGGGAGGAGGAAGAGGATTGGGACAGGAAACAGCAGGAGGAGCAGCGGTCCTTTTCCCAATTCCTCTCTCAGATGCTCAGGCTGCGGCACCTCCGGGACCTCAACATGGATTTTCCCTCCTTCCTCCAAGGCCGTCTGGACCAGATGCTCAGGTGCCTGCAGGCCCCCTTGAACAAACTCTCCATGGAAAATTGCCAGAGGCTGACGCATTCAGACCTGACACACCTGTTCCAGTGCCCGAACCTCAGGCAGCTGAAGTCCCTGCATCTGTTTCGCCTCAGCCTCGTGGATTTTAGTCTTGAGCCCCTCCGAGCTCTGCTGGAGGCAGCGGCACCCACCCTCCAGGACCTGTGCCTGGATCACTGTGGGATGGTGGACTCCCAAGTCGAGGCCATCCTGCCTGTCCTGAGCCGCTGTCACCAGCTCAGGGAGTTCACCATCTCGAAGAACAACTTTTCCGTGGCCACCGTGGAGAAGCTGCTGTGTCACACAGCCGGGCTGCGCAGTTTAGAGTTCGAGCTGTACCCTGTCCCTCTGGAGTGTTACAGGAGCCAGGGAACCGTCAACCAGGAGAGACTTGCCAGGATCCGGGCTGAGCTCATGGGGATACTGAGGGAGTTAGGACAGCCCAGGACCATCTGTCTTGCCACCAAGCACTTTGGCGATAGTGAGTTTTATGTTGTGGCATTTTCATGACATGGAGCCCGTGATGTGACCCTGTAGTGACCCTGCTCACTGGGTGCACCCAGCAAAGGCTTCTTTCTGGGCTTTTGGAAGCTGAAACCTGGGGCCGGGGTGCATTATGCAGGGGGCACCCACGTTTCAGGTTCATGCTCAGTGTGCATGGGGAAAGGGAGGGACCCAGCCCGGGTACAGGATGGCAGGGGCAAACGTTGGGGAGTTCATGAGACCTCAAAGGCAAAGTGCCCTACAATCAGAAACATGAATCTGATTTGCTTGGGGAGGGGGCAAGATTTGGGTTCGAGGTGCATGTGTGGGAGTTAATTCTGGGGTGGTTGGTTGTAAAGGGATGATCAGAAATAAAGACAATTTCAAAGGCAAAAAACAAAAAAAACAAACCACCACTCAGGTTCAGTGATTCACTAGGATTGTCAGAACTCGGCAGAACTGTTATACAGTTTATACAGTGAAAAGATACAGATTAAAATCAGCAGTAAAAAGAAGGCACTTAGGGCAGCAGCCAGGAGACACCAATTATCCTCTCCCAGTGGAGTCATTTGGACAATTCTTAATTCTCCCAGCAACGATGTGTGACAATGTGCAAGGAGTATTGTCAACCAGGGAAAGTCATGCAGGCCTTGGCATCCAGGTCTTTCAGCGGAGGTCAGTCAGGTAGACAGGCCTCACCAACCAGGTGGCTGACCTTCGTCTCCAGCCTCTCCCAAGGTCAAGTTGATGACACCTCCCGGCCGAAGGCCCCCAGGTGAACGAAGACACTCTTATCAGGCAGGATATTCCAAAGGATTAGAGATTACGTTCCAGGGCCTTCCTTTCTTTGGACAGTGCAGAGTTAACCCTTCACTACACAACCCTTAACTTCAGGAGTGGGATTCTTGAAGGCAGAGAAAGAGGACAGGAAACCAAGGTGTTTTAACCTTTATACCTTTACCTGCCTTATAGTCAGAGAGTTTCCGGGAAGTACACCATAGAGCCAGAAGGCAGGGTGCAGGGGCGAGGAGGCGGAGACTGGGCACTCGCCCAGAAGTTTCTCCTGATTAGCCACTGAATAGAAGGCAAGCTTCCCCCGCTCGAGGTCCAGCCAGGTGCCCACCACCCTAGGTTTTTCTGAGCCGAGGACAGTTTCCTTGGCCATGTGCCACATCGAGAGCTGGCTGGTTCCCTTCCACTCCATGCACCAGGAGTCCCGGGTCCTTCCCAGCATCTGGTTGCGGCTCATCCCCCAGGAAGCCACGCCAATTGCCCAGTGACTGCACTGCTGAGTGTCCACTTCCCAGTACTGCTGCCCAGAAGAGAAGGCTTGGGAGCATAAGACCTGGCAGATTGTAAACCTGGTGTGACTCCCGTCATAAACCTGTGGGATGGGAGTTACAGTCACCTTCCTGCGGTCCTCCGACAGCTCCAGGCTAACGGGCAGGCTCCTCGGGTCAAAGGTTGGACTGACAGCCCCTGAAGAAAAGAAAAGAAACAAGAGCATAACCAGCCAGCTCTGACTGTCCCTGCTCAGAGGTCCTCAAAGAGCAAAAGCAGCTTTGTGTCTTTGGGTGTGATAAAGTTGTACTCAGACTGGCATTAATACAGGTATGTCAAACACTTGCTGCTCTCTATACTAGTACATACCCCTGATGTTTGCTAACAATACCCCTTTCCCTCCTTAGCCTCTACTTACCATCAACCTTCTTTCAGGGAGCCCTCCCTGCGTCCCACCCAGCAAAAAGGCACCTCTTGCTTTGCTCGATACCCCCCGTGTCTTAGCTGCTCCCTAATGTACCATCTTCTACCTGGAGCACAGTGACATGACCACGGCTGTCCATCTCTCTCTAGTCATAATACATAAGCTTCCTGATGAAGGATCATGTCTTATTCATTTTGTATATTTTATACTGTTTCCTGCTGAGTAAATAGATGTGAATGCCGGAAGCCGGTCCATCCTTGCTGCTTGACACAGTCGCTGCAGGGAAGAAACATCTGCACAGCATATGTTTCAAGGGACCTGGCGTACATGGCATACTGTTCTTAATATGTTTGCTCACCTTCTTGGCACTATGTGTTTTAACCAAGGTCACCTCTCTGAGAAGGTTGTTTCCCCAGGTAGGGATTTTTCCCTGAAGTTAGGGAGGGAATAAAACCCCTTAACTAAATGCCAGGCGGGTAGTTAATCACTTTAACTACGAACAATCACCCTTAAGCTACATAATCTTTACTCCCTGGAATGGAGATAAGAAATCCCCTAACCTTTGGAATAGAAATTGACAGGATTAAAATCAACTGGTATAGCCGAAACCGGTTTGGCTCAGTGGATAGAGCGTCAGCCTGTAGACTGAAAGGTCCCAGGTTCGATTCCAGTCAAGGGCATATACCTGGATTGCCAGCACATCCCCAGTAGGAGATGTGCAGGAGGTGGCTGATCGATGTTTCTCTCTCATTGATGTTTCTAACTCTCTATCTCTCTCCCTTCCTCTCTGTAAAAAATCAATAAAATATATTTTTTAAAAAATTAAAAAAAAATCAACTGGTATAAATACAGATGTAACAAGACAATAAGACACAGAACTTGGCTGGAGATCCTGGCTAGGCTGCTGATCAACTGAACGCTGTCTCTGTGTCATTCCTTCTTCACCGACTCTGTCCACACCTTTGGGGACCCCTGGACCTGCTGGGGTTGAACCCCAACATGTGAACACATACATAGCATTTCTACTCTAGGCACACATTTAAACACATTCACTCATCTAACCCTTATGACAATCCCTGGAAGGAAGTAGGACTATTATGTTCTCCATCTTACAGATGAGGGGCCTGGGACGCTGGGAGGTTACCTAACTTGTCCAAGATCACAGAGCTAGTGAGCAGGAGCTAGGAGTCAAACCCACACTGTGTGGGTCCAGGATCCGTGCTATCAGTGACCACTCCAGACTGGGACAGCGGAAAGAGGAATGGGCAGTTGGCTGCCTATGGTGGTCCCAGCATGGATGCCCACAGGTGGCCTGAGCTCCCAGTGATCATGGGTCTGGGTTAGCCTGGAATTTGGGAGCTTTTCATTCCCTTTGTCTTTGTAATCAGCTCCCCATGGGAAGGGCTCGTGTGAGGTGGTGGGCCTAGCGGCAGGGAGATGGACACAGCACACTCTCCCAGCTCTCCTCTGCAGCCAGCCGAACGCAAGTTTTAAGCAGACCACATACTTACATTGAACAAACCTGGATGAAAGAAGGCTCTGGTCAGTCTGTGGGCATGAGGAAGAAGACAGACCTTCTGGGAGTTTAACTAAGAAATAAAAAAAAAATGGGAGGGGGGAAAAGTTTCATTTTATAAAAGCAAGTAGACGGTATCTAAGCATCATGATCAGAGCAATGGCTTGTCTTCCGCAGCAGCAGCAGCAGCAGCAGCACCTTTAGCATCAGGGCGAGACCAGGCAGTGCAGCCAGCTCAGGGTCGTTCAGCCCCATGTTCTCACTGGGCCTTTTCCCACCGTTTCCTCCCTGAACTCTAAACTCGTTGCTGGCTCCTTGTTCGTCTCTATGTTCTAAGAACCAAGCCTAGTGTCAGGTATCTAGGAAATGTATTTAGCAAATAAATTAACTAAGACAGTTCCAGGAGACAACAGTGCCCTGACATCCAGAATATTCACGAACCCCGTATCAATGCTTTGTTTTTATTTTATTTTTTAATATTTTTATTGATTTCAGAGAGGAACAGAGAGGGAGAGGGAGAGAGAAATATCAATGATGAGAGAGTATCATTGATCGGCTGCCGCCTGCATGCCCCACACTGGGGATCAAGCTTGCAACCTGGACATGTGCCCTGACCGGGAATCAAACCATGACCTCCTGGTTCATAGGAATGCTCAACCACTGAGCCACACTGGCTGAGCTCAATGCTTTAAACTGTTATAAAAACTGGGAAACGTGAGTTGGTGTGAGATTCATCTCAACTCATTGACACCTCCTACTTCCTTCTCAATGTACTAAAGTTCGACTGTTAACTTAAAGCTACTGTGTGCTTCCAATGCCCACATAGTAGGTAGAAGAAGAGAAAGTAAAGGAGATGTCACAGTGCGGACTATGAAGGTAAAATCTTCCCCCATTTGTATCTTCTTGTTGCTGTTAATCCCACAGAGGATATTTTTCCATTGATATTTAGAGAGAGTGGAAGGGAGGGGGAGAGACACAGAGAGAGAAACGTTGATTGGTTGTCTCCAGCACACACCCTTACCAGGGCCGGGGATCAAGCCTGCCACCAAGATATGGGCCCTTGATCAAAATCGAACCTGGGACCCGTCAGTCTGCAGGCTGACGCTCTATCCACTGAGCCAAGCTGGCTAAGGCCAGGCTTTTTCTTTTTTTAAAAGTAACCAGGATCCCTGGGGAATATAAAATAATAATATAGCACTATTCTGTTTAAGTAAAATTGTTCTGCATAAAATGTGATTTCCATGGCAGCACGTGGAGTACTTACATAGGGGCAAAGGAAAGCACTGTGACGAGCCAGTCAAATTGCATGGCAACTGTTAAAGTACTGACTTGAAGAACACTATCTATTGTCTTTAAAACAATCCTGTGAGCCCGGCTGGAGTGGCTCAGTGGTTGAGCATCGACCTATGAACCAGGAGGTCACGGTTCGATTCCCCGGTCAGGGCACATGCCTTGGTTGCAGGCTTGATCCCCAGTGCGGGGCGTGCAGGAGGCAGCCGATCCATGATTCTCTCTCATCATTGATGTTTCTGTCTCTCTCTCCCTCTCCCTTCCTCTCTGACATCAATAAAAATATTTAAAAATAAATAAATTAAATAAATAAAACAATCCTGTGACATCCCAGGTGGTTTGGCTCAATGGCTAGAGCATCAGCTTGCAGACTGAAGGATCCCAGGTTCAATTCCTGATCATGCCTGGGTTGTAAGCTCAGTCCCCAGTAAGGGGCATGCAGGAGGCAGCCGATCCGATTCTCTCTCATCATTGATGTTTCTCTCTCTCTCTCTCTCTCTCTCTCTCTCTCTCTCCCCCTCCCTCCCTCCCTGTGTCCTTCTCTCCCTCTCCCTTCCTTCCTCTCTTTGAAATAAATTTTTTTAAAAATATTTTTTTTTAAATCCTGTGACAACTTCAGGGAATGATGTTTCAGGATATGGGTGTATATCAGATCCTTTGCTTTAAAAATGTTCTGGACTGGTCCAAATAGCCAAAAACAACATAATCACTAAGAAATAACTATATTGTACTTGCTAAGGCATACTTAAATGTTATAAATTGAATTTTTAAAGAATACTATAAGATGTATGCTTCATTCCTCAAAAAATTAAGAGAGAAATTACCATATGATCCAGCCATTCCACTTCTGGGGATATAGTCAAAAGAACTGAAAGCAGGAACTTGAAGCAATATTTGCACACCCATGTTCACAGCTGTGTTATTCACAATAGCCAAGGGGTGGAAGCAACCCAGTGTCCACTGTTGGTTAAATGGATAAACAAAATGCACTATATGCATACAATGGAATATTGCTCAGCCTTAAGAAGGAAGAAAATTCTGACACATGCCACAACAGCGATGACCCTTGAAAACATTATACTAAGTGAAACAAGCCAGTCATAAAAAGGCAATAGCTGTGTGATTCCACTTACATCTGGTACCTAGAGCAATCACACTCATAGAAACTGGAAGTGAATGTGGGGTGGGGAGTTCCTGTTTAAACAACAGTATAGAGTTTCAGTTTTGCCTAATTGAAAAGATCTGGAGCTTGGTTGTACAACAAAGTCAATGTACTTAACACTACTAGACTGTATGCTTAAAAATGGTTAAGATGGTGGGTTTATGGAAATGAACCTGCCACCTCAGCATGTGCCCTGATCGGGAATTGAACCTGCAACCTTTCGGTGCATGGGATGACGCTCAACCAACGGAGCCACACTGGCCAGGACATAAAGTTGAAGGTTTTATTAAATAAAGGCATTTACTAGTTCAAAATGAAAAGCGGCCTATTTCTGAATCACCTCCGATAGATAACACAGATGAATGGTAAGCCAGCAAAGTCTGGTCCGGACTGATGTACAGGTCTTAGAAAATGAGTTTCTATCTCATCAAGGGCCTGTGTTCCATTACAACTCCGGTTACTTCCAAAAACATAGCCAGCCACGAAATACCTCAACCCCTTCTCTCCTCACATACACCACAATGACATGCAGTGGGGCCCTGGGTCACATCCCCAGACAACAAAGCCATGGAACACTCTGCCTTCCTCCCAACTTCCCTACTTAACCCTCCTCTCCAAATAAACTCAACTCACCCTGCCTTTGTTCTTTAGGCGGCTCTTTCCCCGTGAAGTTTTCTTGCAATTTCCTCCGGATGTCTTCTAGGTCATGTAGAATGTCTCTCATTTTGTCCTCAGCTATGTTGGAAGTCGCTAGCTTTGGAGAAATCAAGGAATGGTCCACCCCACCAGAAAAAGCCTATTGATGAAGCATTAAAACAAGAAAAGAGAAGAAGCAGCCAGGTAGGTAGCTTGGTGTAAAAAAAAAAAAAAAAAAAAGAAAAAGATTTAAAAAAAGAAAAGAAAGTCTCCCAGGAATGCATCAAATAGTATACTCCAGTGTTGCAACCCATCTATAATTTTCCACTTACCCCCTAACGAGTTTTTAAAACATAATGAGGCCCTCAAAATACACACTTTGAAAATAATCTGGAGTAATACATAGTACAGCAGAGATATTAAAGAGTGGGGGGGGGGGGGGATGGATGATTTTCACTTACTTTCTTTAAACGGCTATGTATTTTCTCATCCTTTTGTACAATAAATATCAATTTCTTAAGTAATACTAAAACAAGTCAAAAGTTGTTAGGCCCGTATAATTTACAAAGTAAATAATACAGATAGCCACTGAGCTAAGCCACAAAGGCTAGACTCATCTTCCCCAGACTGCTATCATGATCGCATATACCTTCTCACCCAGGCCCCGCTCTCTGGGGCCTCCAACACGTGCTCACGGATTTTCTTGCACTTCAGGTCCTATGAGTCCCCAACACAGCCTCCCATCCGCTACTTCCCACCTACAGCACCAGCACCGGACTTTCCTTCCCAACTTTGCATAAGCCACCGCCCACTTTTTTCACCACTTACTGAGTTCCCTCCACTGCTCACCTCGAATTTGCATAACAACCTTCCAAGGTGGGTTTATTATCCCCATTTTGCCAAAGAAGAAGCTAATGTTCATGGAGTTGAGCTAAAATTTGCCATAGTTCATTGTATTGCCCTACATTTTCTCATTGCTAAAGCACTTTTTTTATACACCATCCCTTTCAATCCCAACATTTCACTGCTGCAGGCCTCATTATTCCTACTTTACAGGTAGAAACCTGAGATTCAGAGAGATGAAATGACTTGCCCCAGCTCATAATACTAATGTTACATCCCTAAAGTCCCACATATTCACCCATTCAGTGGGAAGTGCCCAGCACTGTGCCAGGCCTGGGGATACAAGGGTGAACAAAAGAACAAAAGCCCTCAAGGTCTCCACCCTCATGACGCTTAGAGTCCAGGGCCAGAGAAGAGGGAGGGCAGACATGAGTAAATTGTGGCTGTGCTAACGGCTGCCCATGGAAGTTACATGGAGTCATGAGAGCGAGCGCCTCTATAGGGGGATGTGACCTGTTCAAGGACCAGTGAAGGATTTTCCAGGACAGTGATGAACTCCTTGGGGTCTGAAGGATGAGCAGGCATTCCCTAGGTGAAGGGCGGAAAGAACATTCCATGGAGCTGCGCCCTGTTGGTGGGGGAAAGTGTGACAACACCTGGAGGGACAGACGTGGGCCCAGCACGGCCAGGACCTGACGAGCCAGGAAGAGCTGGGTGAAATGAGATGGGAGAGGAGGCAGGGACAGAATCCTGCGGACTCTTGTTGGTTCTGTGAGGATGAATCCTGCACAACAGATGCCATTGGAGTGTCTTAAGCGTTTGAGTTACATGATCAGATCTGCATTTGAGAGGGTCACTCTGATGACCCCGAGGACAGCAGACTAGAGGGAGTGGAATGGAGCAATTAGGAGGCTACTGGAGAAATCCAGGCAAGACGTGATCATAAGCTTGGATTAGAGAAGTCTCAAGGGAGCTCAGGAGCAGTAAATAGAGCCCAGCCAGGGTGATTCAGTAGTTGAGCGTTGACCTGTAAACCAGGAGGTCATGGTTCGATTCCCGGTCAGGGCATATGCCCAGGTTGTGGGCTCCATCCCCAGTGTAGGGTGTGCAGGAGGCAGCCAATCAATGATTTCCTCTCATCATTGATGTTTCTGTCTCTCTCTCTCCCTCTCCTTTCCTCTCTGAAATACATAAATATATTTGAAAAAATTAAAAAAGAAAAGAGTAGTAAACAGATTCGAGAGATGTTTTGGCAGGTGAGGGAGGAGGTGCATGATTCTCAGGTTTCTGGCTTGTGCCCTTAGAAGAATAACCAGCAGTCAGATGGGGAATTCCCCCTGAGGAACAGTTTGGGGCATGTTAGGTGTCATGTGCCTTTGTGACACTAAGAGGCGACTATGAGAAGGAAAACACCAGCCTAGAGCTCAGAGAAGTGGCCGGGCTGGAGCTGTTTGTGCTAATTAAAGCCATGGGTGTGGGGAAGAGAAAGGGACCCACGGATGAGCCTTGAGGAATCCCAACGTTTCACTGCTAAGCAGAGGCGAGTGAGCCTGCAAAACAGACTGGAAAGGAGCAGCCAGAGAGAAACGGGAAGGCTCGTGGGCAGAAGCTGAGGAAAAGGAAAGCTTCAAGGACGAAGGTGTGGTCGCCTGTGCCAAAGGCCATTGAAGGCGTGGCTCAGTGTTGAGCATCGACCTATGTGCCTGGAGATGACAGTTCGATTCCCGGTCAGGGCACATGCCGGTGTTGCAGGCGCAATCCTCAGTGTGGGGCGTGCAGGAGGCAGCTGATCAATGTTCTTTCTCATCATTGATGTTTCTATCTCTCTCTCCCTCTCCTTTCCCTCTGAAATCAATAAAAATATAGTAATTAAAAAAAAAAAAGATGAGGACTAGAATGTCTGCAGGATTTACGTAGAGGCCACTGGTGATCTTAGAGCTGGTTAGGTGGAATGAACAGGATGGAACCTAGGCCTCTTGAAGCTTCCCTATCAAACCTCCAGGCCTCCCTGTTTGGTAGCCCAGCGAAGGGGAAAAGGCAGGGCCTTACTGCATCCTTCAGCTGCAAACACGTTCATGCTGCCCCAGTTGGGAGCTGTCCCCGCCCCTGTCTCCTGCCACACCCTTTCCTCTCCACGCTTGAGCCTACCATGCCCAGGACGTTCAGTTTGTTCTCCGGCCCAGATTCTGGGAGCTGCCTCTGCTTCTGAAGGCTCCTGGCGATGTCTACAAGCCGTTCCACCAGCTCTGCCAGCTCCCGACCAGCTTCTGGGATGCTCTTCGGTGCCGCCGCCTTTAAAAGAGCAAAGCAGAACCCAAAGCTGGACCCAGGAATCAGCTCTACATAGAGTGTGCAGCCTGGATACAGGAACAGGCAAGGACACGACGGAAACATTCAGAGGACAAGAAAGGAGGCTCCCCAGACCTTTTGCAAGCCCCTTTCCCTTACTGATCGTCCTGTGGCCATAAGAGGAAAGCGGAGTCCATCCGTGGGATGGAGAGGGAGGGGGAATGGGAGTAAAGTGTGAAGGGAAGCCTAGGGCCATTATGAACAGGGGAAGTCAGAGAAGACATGGGTGTGAACCTGGCAGGATGGTGGCAGCTGACAGAGTGAGTGGTGCAGTGGAAAGGCATGTGGCTCAGGCTCAAGCTCCACTCTTGCCTCTGATTCATCCTATGTCCTGACCAGGCTTTTCAGAAAT